ATTCACATACGGGTTCGTTTTTCTACGTTTTCCTTTATTGACACAACACATGATCTGATGGTATCAATCTCACTTCGGGCATGGCGTTTCAAGGAAATTGCATCTGGTCTGATACGGGCACGTCGGAGCACTTTCCAATAAGACTTCGGATACTGGTTCTGTTCAATGCACTGATGCAGAAANTTCTCTTAATTCACGGAAGATTCCCATATCTATCATCCCAACTGTTGTGATGTGGTCTAATACCAACAAATAATTTCACTCGTCATTTTGATATACTATATACATTGTATTTCACCAATTACGTGATTGTGTGGAGGGAGTATTCAATAGTTTATACCAAAACAGACGCATTGAATTCATGTGCACACACAGTGCTACCCTCCCCCTTGCCCTGAAAGCGTAGTCAAGTGCCTAACTGGTTTAAGAACGTGTTGAAACATTCCAATTCTTGTCCCTTTTCCCCCTCAATCAATCGATCGATAGAATAATTCCAACGTAGATCACTTTTCCCCGTACTCCCTAACCCCACTCACATTCATGCCTACACATACACACACACTTGAATACGTCACTTTGAACCACAGCCGTACCTCGTATTTTGTTTGTCTATTCGAATAGGAAAAATTAATTATCAAAAGGTGTGAAAGGATGAAATAAGGTGACCCGATTTGTACCTTTTTACTGCGAAAGGCGTAGCGAACTTTTTGGCGATGATTCGTTATAATCATAAAGGTTCAGAGGAATAAGAGTCGAGACAGACATGAATTTTCCAGGCAATCAGCACAATCAAAATTAAACCTCCTATTTGCTCTTCAACAATAGTGGGACTTTATTCTCTCAAGACATGTGCACCAGATAATATCTCCCAAAGCGAGCTATTATCGGCTTTTTGTTGGAATACGCATTTCAGAAGTTTCGCATCGATCCAAGCGCGTTTTCAGACAGTTGGCCTACTACGGTCCCAGTCAGTGAGACGATTTAGTGATTTGCCAAGAATATTAGTTGCATGTAGTTTGCCACATAATGTACTCTGAGTGGGAAATGAACCCAGGGGGAACAAAATGACGATGAAATTGGAGCTGAAATAACTGGAACAGTGCTTGCAAGTTAGTGATATATGCACATAATATATATTTAATATATATATCTTTGAACACCATGTGTCTTTTTTTGTCTGAAAAAAATAAGTGAATCCGCAAAAAACTGGAAGTTCACTTGCTCACAACACAAACACTCGGAGAATAAAAAGTTCGTCATCATCCTAGATGACATCCGGAATGCGGTTCGTCGAATGCTTGCGAAGACGCATTGCCCTGTTCGACGGTGAAGCACTAGGCAGGGTTACCTAAGCCGTCCCTCCCATATAATATGCGCATCACTGATCCATTGAACGGGGCCATTTACCCCGCTACGGACCAGACATAACGCTATGAACGAAGGTGTGACAACGGGATAAACGGTGTTGTGCTTGTGACTTGATTTTCGACCGAAGTTTGGAACCTCTGGTATGTGGCACATCAGCAAAAGTGGTCCGATAACGTAGGTCATGTGTTATGCCCAAAATAAAGTACATGATACTTGTTGATGGAATATTTTGGGCCCGTAATCGCTTGGAAAATAGGCTTCTTGTTGAGGGATATGAGAATCTTATACCCAGTACTGAATCGTTATACATTATCCAATACGAGTGTATTATCCACACAAAACTAAATTTAAATGTTCATATTTCACGACTTCTTATTAGCTTTAATCCAAAACGTTGTATCTAGTCGTTCTTGTCGATTTACGTGACTGAATCCAAGTCCCAGAGTTTAGATTGTCCATTATCGTATATGAAGTCTGAGTACTTGTGACTTATTTCACTCTTTGTATTGTTCACCACACATTAATGTGTCACAAAATTGTAAGCTGTGTGTTTGTCACCTAATATAGAGTTTTGTTAGTTGACAGTCCTGGGAAAGCAAATACACTATGAAATTGAGTCCAACCACAGTTTTGACAACTACCAACAGACCCATAGGAAATAATCGACAAATGAAAAAAAACTTATGTACATGAGTAATTCGTCGCTGTAATACAAGTTTACAAACCTTTACTCAGATTATTCTCAAATCATTCCAATTACATCAGAAAAACCCGTAATGAATTCCGGAGCACAGTACTAAAACATGAATACACAACTCAATGTTTTTGGGAACAAAAGTGCGAGTCAGAGATGTACCGTTGATAGAATGATAATGTAATGATCCATGGTCTAGGATGGATCGAACTTATTGTGGATTGAAGCCGTTTGGCTTTATGCAAGGTTCAGCATCGCCCAGTAAGCGAATCTGGTGTTTTAATCCAATCTAGCTTCATAGGCATTCTGGCGACGGATTATCTGACGACGAAAGAGCACCATTGTACAGCAGGTGTAGAATTTTCTGAAGCAGTTGAGATCAGGGCACACGTTATACTCCCACTGTGAGTCATGCGCATTTGTTGCTTAAGCCCGTTCTTGGTGTTTTCAGTGCAAATTGGTGGACCCACTTACAGTACATGCATATAAATACGTACACCACCGGTGAAATCATTGATATAGGGTTCTAACCAATTGTTGCGTGAGCTGACTTTCCACTAATTCCATTATTATTCTCATGGCATTTAAATTACGAATTGAAAAGTAGGTGTTCATGCGCATGCTTCAGTTTCAATAACTCCGAGGTTTTCTTCGTTCAGTGTTTGTCTACCCACTTATTCCTTAGTAGATGCACTTTTGGCCTAAACCAGGAGCGGATCGCATTCGGCCAAAGAGATCATACATTGACCGGGTTTTATCCGTAATTTGCACTCTGCGGCAAGGCAAATTTTGTCACTTTTCTATGCAAAGATAACGCTGCAATCGAAGTTAAAAGCAGTCAGAAGATAAGCTCAAAAGGCAGGAAATGCTGCTTTTGACTTTCCTTGAATTGTTAATCCCATTTACTGATGAAATTTGTTACAGAATATTTCAAAAGTATTTATATCCATCAAGATACTTGAATGTATAATGTGGAATAATTTGAAGCTGGTAGTGTTTCTCTAATACTCTATATCAACTACGAATATAACGGCGTTTTGAATTTTTGCCTCAAAACCTATTGAGTAGCCACGGTATTAGAGTCCGATCCTCATTCATAAACAGATTAACGTGGTGCAGTTTGAGGTACTTGGCGTTCATAAATTTTCGTTTTCCATAATCTCAAGTCTAAGCATTAAATGAATGCGATATTTATGGAAGCATTCAGCCTCTGGTAGAACGAAGGTTATTATACATCAGTGTGTACTGGTGACAGACACTAGGGCAATGTATTGGCGAAGACATCTGGAAAATCTGATGGCATTCAGTTTGAAACATTAACTTTCCGTGTAACTTTGACATCGTTCACGGTGCAAAGCTTTCTTCAGGATTGCGCGATAAAAGGAAAATGGATACCTTTAGGGAAGCGTAAGAGCAAAACAGATTGAATAACTTGTTCACCTACAGCACTGAGATACGCATCCATATAATACCGAGGTGTGAGGAAAGTGAATTGAACGTGGGCCAACAAAGGCGATCGAATCATCATGGTTGCGATAGCTATAAAGTCACAGCGATACAACTCTATGCTGACCATTGAAATTCGAGCCACATAACACGAACAAACAAGCTTCTGAAGTCAATAAGCGCCCAAACTATTCAAACGTTGAGTGCCGCAAATATTTTACCATATATGATCCAACTTCTGGATGCTGACGGATCAAAATGCACGCAGATGCACCTAGATAGTTAACATCCCTTCCGCCATTTTAAAATTCCACGTCTCTTCGTCTGGAAAGCACAAGGACCACTCGTGCGGAGTAAACCGATACATAAGTGGTTGACAGTGTATCTGCATGACCTCACTGGGTGTGATTGTTCGTTCTACAAGAACTCAAACAGTTTGAAGAGTGTCACAGAAACAATTCAGAATGGGACTACTACAAAAAAGTGACCCCGTTTTCCCTATTCAGTTTGATATCACTCGAGACAGTTATGCAACAAAATAACAACCGTTATTCGATATTGATTCCACAGCGCTTGTCAATTCACAAACACTATCACTGTGTAGGAAACGGGCCAGATAGGGAGACTCTTGAAAACCGCTCTGTACGAACTAAAGGTTACGGAACCTCAACAATGTACGTACAAATTAACGCCTGCTGTCAGCAAACATGACCGAATTCAGAAAGTTAATGAACGAAGTATCTGAGACATACCAATATAGCGTATCAATTTTAAGGATTTGGCATACAGGTGAAACTGTAACTACACGTTGACTAGACAGCAGGTGACAAGACTAGAGCAGCGTGAGTGATTCGGTGAATGACACAAATAAAAAGAACTCAACAGAAAGAAGCAAAATACGAACAAGAGAACAGTGTTCTTACGCAGTTCATCTATGCGAATCCGCATGTGTAAGATGTTAATCTGTGAGTCTTCACCAGGTACAAGTGATTCGTACACTCAGCGAAGAGATGTATCTCTTCGACACACAGATTGGTGATAATTCAGTAAGCTTTTGATGTGGTTAGACAAACGTAAATAATCACACACCACCATCGCTCAAAACTGATATTTGACTGTCAATTGGGAAACAAAATGGAGTGTTGATTTGGCGCCCACATCGACCAGATAAAGACCGTGAGGATAACAGAAACAATGTCACGCATGCGCTATTAACCGGGGCTGGAGTCTAAAAGATGGGCCAAAAGAAAAATCGGGAAGGATAATCACGCACGAATCACACCACAAGCACGAAAACCCGCCAGAAGACTGAGTATGCTGGCTTGCAAGGATAACTAGATACACGTGAGAGCTATATGGCAGAAATGAACCGAAGCGGGTGTATCAAGGAGCGCCAAAACGAAACCTTTGGGAGTAGAAAAACAAGTGTACGATTAAGCACGGCGTTTGGAGGGAGGGAAGGCAAAACAGATACATGGATGGAGAATAATGATCACTTTTCGCGGGTGGAAAGCTCCAAAACTCTTGCCAGTTCTTCATCTTCCTGTCGCCTACGCCGCTCTTCACGTTCTTGTTCTAACCGTGATTCCTCAAGCACTTTCATATAGGCCTCGTCCGCACTGGTTACGGGAATTTCTGCACCATCTAAACTTAGACTGGCAGCGATAGCTCTGAAAAGAAACGTACATATTTGGAACAGCATGAATCCTGCACCCGTGTACTTTAAGGACGAAAGATGACAAATAAGTAAATGAATTTAAGAACAGAAAATATTTAGCATATTCTATTATGATATGGCTTAAATATTTACCGATTTTCCTTTTCGGGTAGTTCAAGTAGTACTGAAAAATGCAATTTTATCATACTCATTCAAGAAGGGGAACGGCCGATAAAAAACTAAGGTCTTCTACCATTTTACTCTAAAAACCTCAGAGCATCAAATAATTCATGGACTATCTGACGTCGATGGGTGCTCAGTATCACACGAACCAGGACCTAGAGTTCAGTATGAGTTTGCAAACATTCATAATCCACACTGTACATAAAACACTGCCAAGGCAAGGTGAGAATATCGCCATGCCTGAAAATGAAATAAGATCTTTTAAACAAAACGGACAGATATGACCTCACTAAAGCTGCCGATTCTGTGAGGCAACTCAACTTCTTGTTTCCGTGATATAATACAAAATCAAAAAAAGTTGGCCAATGGATTGAATGAAGCCAACTGTTATAGAAGCGAGGTTACATTGTTAGCAAACTTATTGTGAGAACCAAGAACGAATGTGTACGCAAAGTAATGGCTCGTAATGTGATTCGATTTACAGGCCTAATTGGGTTAGCATCGTGTGCAAACATTTTACACGACGAGGCGAAGGAATACGATGGCGCAAAATACAAGCTGAGTATTCGTTCTAAAAATGGATGAAGATGAAGTGTCCAATCCGGGGATATTGTGTCCGATGGGATAATCATACAAACGACGACGAGGTCAAATGGCTTTACCCAATCGTGATCACACGCTGACGCAGTTGTTTGATCACCGTAGAATGCGATGTCCGGGACTTGTTTTCGGCATGTCAATCGATAGGTCTTCTCGCTATGCACTGTTTGATGAAGCGGGAAATTAGCTAGAGGACTAATACGATTAACTTAAACCCGATATGAAGGCATTGTGTAGGGTAGACGGTCACTAAATTTGAATTGTCCTTTGGGGACCTCGTTTCCAACGTAATCACTGATTAAAGACAACAAGGTTTGTGTATCTGTTCATTTTTTACCCAGTTCGCTTTCTTTCTGTCTATTCATCCTGAGACTGTTCTCGTTTTTGAACTCTTCGATCGACGCCCCCATTGCTCGAATATTTGGATAACCGGAAGACGTAAATAAGCCACGGTACGACAGTACAAGGCTGATGATTGTGCAAAATGAAAAACAAACTACTATATCATTAAATATAAGCATCATTTCAGGAGGATAATTAGTCTGTAACTAATGTGTTTAACCTACAGTATAACTAGGAATAAATAAGCGTAACTCCCATTGCTTTTTTATTCTTTGATTATTTAATGTACGAAAATCAAATGGTTCACAAAAGCCATTTTCACACGAACCATTCAAATGAAAAAAACATCAGCCGAGGACAATAAAATAAAAGATAAAATTCCACCCTGGCTAATAATGTAATACCTATTGATGATTAGTAGTGTCCAAGTGAATTTCTGGTTGACTGTGAAGAAGACTGATTGAGAAAGATGTGAAAAAATTCACTCATCAGTTGTTAAGGCAACAGGGAAACAAGAAAGAGCAGCAAGAGAGAATCCTGGATGGATAAGAGCTCAGTTCCGGTTAAGTCGGTGGAACATAGGAAAATCACTTGTTGGTCCTGTGTCTGGCCCGCATTAAGAACCTTGTCGAACTGATTTCGTGAAGATAGAGTTAATCGCAACAACTTTATCGCCACCGCTTCCGTTGTAGCAAGATGACGATCTCGGAAGTTCTTTGTGAGGTCATGGGCGTCTTGTGAACGATTTTAAATGAACCTTGTTTTCCTAGTGTCCTGTATGATCTACTCTAATTGCACTGATATAGTCATTGTGATCCCGCACTTAACCAAGCTGATCTACATCTGATTCGTTGGAAAGACTACTTGATCTCCACACCTACTTAGTTTGTCGGAAACATTTTGTTTTGTCACTTTTGTTTCTCCGTTTTCTCTTCTTAACCCCTGGTAAACAACAATTGATTGCCTTTCTCAACCAGTTCTCGTCAAGTACGTATCGAACAGTAAATCACTTATTTTGACATCAGCTAACACAAAACCATTAAAAACAGTGCGGTGAAGTGAACAGATATACAATGGTATTCTTGTTCTCATAATCTGTTGTAACTGTTTGATTTCCGCGTCACTTTCTTCTTTACTCTCAATCCCTACCCCCATCTTGTGTTGCGTTGACCCCACGCCTGTTTGCAAGCCTATGATATATATATATATCATAGGCTTGCAA